GTTGTTAACTCTGGCTCCAGCTCTGTCCGGTATCCTGCCCAGCTCACTGACATCACTGGTTGCCAGGAGCTGAGCGGGATGCCAGCCAGAGCTCTTAGCAACCTGGAACGCTCTGGCCAGAAAGGGGGTGGCGGGACCCAAAGAGGGGCCACCTGAGGCAACCCTCTTCAAGCTGCCTCATGTAACTAGCTCATATAAATCTTTGAACTCCTGAATATAAGCTTTGTCTACCTACCACTGACCAGTAGTTTCACTCTCTATGTATTCTTCATTTATTTTCTTTCATGCTTACTGCAGAGTTATTAGTGTGAAAGAGGGTTAGATCCAGAAACACAAATGGGAGACCCTCCTTTTCCAGAAGGAGAGCAACTAATTTAGGATCGTTGTTTTTCCCTTCTTATTATAACAGTGTCAGTAATAGCTCTGCTACTTGGCTTCAAGTTCAAGGTTTATATAGATGTGGAATGAATACCGGTGCTACTGTTTTGTACATTGAAACATTCTAAACAGTCACAATCTGACAGTTTCTAAATATTAACACTAGACGTTTAATGTATGCGGTTTAATGCATTAAGTGTAATTTGCAATATGTGACTTTTGCTTTTTGCAGTAAGGCTTTCTTAAAACAGAAGGTATTAACATGCCTTATTTCATCACATATACCAAAAACAAGAGGATTCTTCCTCATTTTAGGACAGTAAGCAGAGCCATGCAAATCATTGCTTTACACCCCATTGGGCAGATACACATCTAGAACTGGTGGTGCAAAGTGCAAATGTAACCTAATCTCACAGAACCATTTATTCCAGACTTTAAACAGCTGTTTAAGGGTTTTTGGCCCTCATCAGTGCTAAAAAAACATAACTTCTGTGGGGTAGGGCTTCAGACCGAACAAGATAGTTGAACTATACAGGTTATGGTGAAAAGGCACTAAAGTAATTTAAAAAAAAAAGGATCATTAAATACTGCTCTTTCAGGCTTTTCAACCATCATCAGTGCAGTGTATGGATCATGCATGTTTCTTCTGTATTTGTGGTTTTAATGGTACTGTGGTTTTATAATTTGATATTTGTGTATTGTTTATGCTATTCTTTCCTCTTTGTATGTTATACCATTCTTGTCCACCTTTTTATCATCCCCTACCTAGAGTTAAGTGTGGTGTATAATAGGAGGTGGACACTTTTACATTTTGCTATGACTAAGGCCAGGGCTAGTGGAAACCCATCAATGTAGATGTTTGCCTTTTATCCTGCTATGTTACAATAAATATTGATGGAATTGGAATTGAGTGCTGGCCTTTCGGATCTTCAGGGAAGACCTCACAGCTCAACCACCCTAGAGATAAAAAAAAAAGCTAGTGGGTTTATTCATCCCATCATCACCTACTATCAGTACTATCAGTTTTGGATGAACAGACCTTTAAGACTAAAACTGTGCTATTTCAACTAAAAATGAATTACTGGATGCTGTAATGCTCAACATTGTATATGTAAAACTAAGACAGTGTTTTCCAGCTGGTCCTGTTTAGCCTCTTGTATGTGGTAAATGAAATGTACTTTGATATCTAAGGAGTATGTGACAAGGTCCAGACATTACCATAACACTTTCACAATTTAATAATCTTTTTCTATAATGAGGAAGTAGAGTATTAGGTTACCCAATGATTAGTGCAAAAGCTTTACATCTTTAATAATTTTAATAACTAAGTCATCAAGAATAACAGCAATAGTGTTTTGGTAGTATGTTGCGTTGTATGCAACTTCCGATATGGCATTGGAAACACCAGTATATTCAGGATCTGATAGTATGTCTGCATTCTATATTCAATGATTTTCTTATTTATGTACAGACTGATACGCTTGTAATTGTCAACTAACGGTGCTGCAGTACGTTCTTAATTAAATGTATTGAGCAACACTATATAACTTAACAAAAATCATGCAGTCATTACCTCTAGTCGGTTTGGTCTTGACAATGTAGAACATGATGATAAGAACGATAGCAATGGCCATGATAAATATTGTAGACATGGCGATAATCAAAGCTGTGGCCAAGTGTCCTTGTCCAGGAACATCCACTAATAAAAGAGATCATGTTATTATTACATAAAAGTACAAATCTCAAGATATATCAACATTTATAAGGGCCCATGGGAGGCTTAGCACATTATGGCTTATGCTTGTTTGGCACTACCTGCAGTATAGCCACTATATAGAGTCTATTGTGACCTGAGACTTTGACTACATATACAGCATGGACAGAAATAAGAACACAGTTTGATGTGGTCCACTAAAGTGCATACAACCACCAGTAACAGAACATACTGTTGAAGTTTGGCAATGCTAAACCATTGCCCTGCAATAAACAGCAGCATTGTGGGAGCCAATGGACTGCCTATCTGATAGACCTGAAAAGCAGCTCATTGGCCAACTGATGAAGTGAACACGGCAGGCAGACACTGCTGCTATTAAACTAAAACATTTAAAAATGTTTAATGTTTAATCTCAAGGTTAAGAAAAAAAGCAATGCCATATTTGGGACCGATCAGTAGGTATATAACATAATGATAACAATATATACAACAATACATCACCCTACACTAGGGAACCCATCCAGCATCCACCTTTCTGTATCCAGCAGAACCACAGCCTTGCCTGACTGGCGATACACCATTGAAACAAAAGAAAGGTCCATTCAGTGACTACAAAGCAATGAAGCTGTTTTTTTAAAATAAATAAAATCAACAGCTTACAATGGTGGTCCCAGAGCTTCTTAATGTGTTTCACGCCAAAGTGCTTAGTCATTAGACCTTATGATTAAGCACTTTGGTGCAAAAGAAATCAAGGTGTTCTGTGACCACTGTTATGAAGGCTGGTGATTTCAAACTAATTGAATCCTCCAATGCATTCTATAGTCACTAAGTTGACCTTTCTTTTATTTGAATAATTATAACAATGAGTGATGAGGAAATCATGTGTCCTAGCTTTTCCAGAATGTGTTGTAGTGAATAAAACATAATGAGAGACGCAAAATGAGAAAGCAGAGAGAATATGCAATGCTGTAGATTTAGATAACAGAGCTCCCTCTTATTTTTAGAATGCAGCATGAGAATGCAGATCTCTCACCTTTGTGTGCATGTTGGAAGGGAGAAATAGTGCTGGTGCCTACTGTTCTTGCTGAACCACCTGGAGGATAATGTGCTGTTCCAATGCCTGCCAAGGAAAGAAACACTCATCAATCAACATGAAGTAACAGGGTAAACAACATAGCGATTTGATTCCTCTTTGAATTGAAATGGAATTTATAATAATTGTCCCACCTCCTCCTTGACCCCGATGCAAATTTCAAATTAATATATGGACTTTAGATGTAGCCAAGCAAATCGTCTAATTGCCCAAACCCACCTACGGCCAAGCAGTAATTTTATTATATCAGAACCAATCTCACTGCAGCCCAACACCCAGATCTATGCTCAGGCCTGACTATGAGCAAGTGTTTGGAGCTAAGGGACAGGTTGCATAAGCTGGCCATACACAAATGTTTCCTCCATTCATTCTGTGGGCTCTACATAAGAAATCTAAACAGTGTAGATGGAGGAATTTCCCCTGCTGGTCTATTGTATTCTGTCAGCTGGCACCTGCCGCTGTCAGAATACCCAAACAGTGGCTGAAGCTCATTGGCCGCAATTACTGTACGGTTAATAATTTTACACCTGGTTCCTTTGACAAAAGTCACTTAAATTGACTTTTGGTGAGCCTAGTAAGGCTGACAGGGCCACCTACAGCCCAAATTCTAGCCTAGTCAGCAGAAGTTGGCCAAAATTCTAGCAGTGTATGGCCAGCTATAAAGATAAGTCTCCACACAACATAAGTATTTCCTAAACATGGGCTGGACATACAGTAGCTTCATGAAGAAATATATGTCTACATCTAAGGTCTATAGATTCAGTTACAATTTTCATCAGCAAGGTAAGACAGTGGGAAAAGGCTTTTTGGTATGATTTAGGTTTCAGTTTTTAAACCATGGCCTCGCATAACCACATGCAATCAATGGTAAATACTGATGGTTAAAATTCTCAGCACTGATTATGAAATCAGACAAATGGTATTGTAGTCTCAGCTATTAGCAGCATATGGTTTTCTCTTTCGGCTTACGACTCTCAGTTTAGCACAACTTTGAGCCCTTGCTGTGAAAATGACAACACTGGTAAGAACACATGTAGTACAAGTTCACACTACTGCAATCCAGAACACCATTCACAGGACACTAGCCCAGATCTATTACAATGTTTACTAAAACAAAGGCCCTTACAGCATTTAATGAGAAACTATGTTTAACCACATCGTATCTGACAGCTAACTGTTCAAAGCTGTTTTTTTTTACTTTTTAGGAAATGCGATGGTTCCACGCTTAATTACATTTTGCTTTTGAAGTCTCTCCTAACAAATTATGCATCTTGTTTTGGACAGATTGGCATTTCATCTGTAGCGTATTTCATTAAATCTAGTTGTATTTTCTAGCTGTTAATTTGAAAATAAAAAAAATGTTTCCGCACATACAATCAATGCCAGTGCCATAATGAACATCAGACATGCATAGAAATCTGGGCTTTATTTATATTTACTTCATTTTGGGTTTCTGGTAACTTTGGATTTTTTTCTTTTACATTTTTGCAACAAGCATAAGGGGTGGTAGATGAGGTCAGGAGGGAGCTAATATAACCAACTATGGCCCATGCACCTCTCCCACAACAGATCACCTATATCCAAGTATATGTGAGCCCTGACTATCCTAAACCCTTTGAACAATGTTTGACACTAACTCAAAGCAAACCTTTTTCAATAAACCCCCCAAAATTGTAAATACTGTTTTATTTTTCTATTGTTTACAAGCAGTTACATAAGACTGCTATGCAGCCACTACATCCTGGGCTTCAAGAGGTGGGGGTAGAAACTCCTCTATCCCATTCATTGTCACCCAAACTATGCAGTGCTGGGCAAAGAATCGTGTCAGCAGCCCTCTGACCATGGAAGTATAGTCTGACATCCTACAGCATAAAGCAGAAGTCAGGGCTGGGCAAGTAGGTGTGTCAGCAGCCCTCTGACCATGGGGGTATAGGAGGACATCCTATAGCATAAAGCAGAAGCCAGGGCTGGGCAGGTAGGTATGCCGGCAACCCTCGCACCATGAAGGTAAAGGCCGACGTCCTATAGCATAAAGCAGAAATCAGGGTTGGTCAGTTAGGTGTGTCAGCAGCCCTCTGAACATGGGGGTATAGGCAGACGTCCTATAGGATAAAGCAGAAGCCAGGGCTGGGAAGGTACCATGGGGATATAGGCTGACATTCTATAGCATAAAGCACAAGTCAGGGCTAGGCAGGTAGGTGTGTCAGCAGCCTTCTGACCATGGGAATATAGACTTATGTTCTATAGCTCAAAGCAGAAGCAGGGCTGGGCAGGTAGGCATGTCAGCAGCCTTCTGACCATTGGAGTACAGGCATGCCATGCATAAATATGGCCTCCTGTAGCTTTCAAGAAGAAAGCAGAGACACAAACTGACCATGCTAGGACAGATCTGTTTCTGTGCCTAGCTTGACAATAAGGAAACAGGGTGAAAGGAAGAATCACCAGGTATCGAATGTAGTTTGGTGTTTTTTTTTTAGAGAGATAAAGAACTTGTGCTTTGTTGGGGACAAAGGAAACACATCCCTGATTATGTAAATTAGGGTTCACCCACACTTTAAAGTAACTATTCACTATTACAGGGACCTGTTACTGTAGTGGAGACTTAATGGATCTGGATCAGCTCCGCCCACCCCTGGACTATTAGAGGAAGTGCAGAGGATGCAAGAGAGATGTCACCAATATTTCCAAATAAGCATAAGCATTGATCTACTACATCTCAGTCTGTAGCATCATCAGAAGCTCTGGAACTAACCCGGTTATTTTCTGATGAGTTCTAGCACACACACACACCCTAAGACCAACTACTTGCCAAGACCCCATTCATTTCACACAATTTTTGGTTTGTTTTGTTTCCCTAGTAATAAATTATTTTTAAGTATCTGGGTATTAAAAGTATATTTTGGAAAACCACCAACATATACACAGCTCCTGAGCTTCTCAGTCAATAAGCTTTGCTATACACATAAAAGCTATGAGGAAAACACCAAGCACACAGACACAACTCAAAGCACACCTAAAAAATATGATCAAAGTATCTAACCTGTCAAAACAAAATCTTATACAGCTGTTTTTATTTGTCTTTGCTGACAAAGGTAAGGCCTCCCTTAATTAATGCAACATTTATAGATTATCAGACTTTACACACTAGAACCCTCCTGTCCAACCTGCGACCCTCGTTAGAAAGTCCCCCACCCATTGATACTCATTCACGCTTCACTCCCCCACCACTACATTGCTCCATTAAAGCCCTCAGTAACACCCTGAGCCACTGGTCATAGGAGAGCATGGACCTCTGCCAGAGATACAGGGCTTAGGTCAATCACCAGGCCAAAGCACTGTCACCTGATGTAGAAGAGGAAAAAGTTAACCCTGTATATGTCAAATGGGGTGATCGGAAGAGGAGCGTAGAGAAGATGAGTATCAGCAGGTAGGTTTTGCTGTCTTTTTTTCCTATTAGAGAACTTGTCTCTCAGTTAAAGGCTCTATTCACATATATATAGCGTTTGCGTTTCCCGCACGGTTTTCCACACGAAAGACCATGTGGGACGAAAGCGCAAACATTTTTAATCCACACAGATGCCACTTGTTTGCAGCTATTAAATAGCTGCAAAAGTGCGGAATCCATTGGATTATCATGCTTGTAATATTTTGGAGGCCATGCGGGTTTGTACCGTGCGGTCCCTGCAATAGTCTGAACGATGCATATTGAAGTGCATTGTATTCTCTGTTTAGAGCGGCTCCCCGCATATCCGTACAGCAGAATACGCGCAGACAGCCGCCCCGGTGTGAATGGAGTCAAAAATAGAGAAAGAGACTGAAATAGAGTCAATGAAAATGCGCGCCTTGTGTGGTTGTGACATATGATCTTATAATGTCCTAGTTTGGGGGAGGCAAAAATAAATAATAATATCAACAAAATAACTAAATTAACAATAATTGTGAAGATTGTTTCAATGGCTTTAATACTATGTAACTCACTATCTGAAAAAATATGTAGTAAGTGAAGTCAGAGTGAATTTACAATTCTTATTCTGCATGCTTATTTCAATTACTCAAAAAGTGATTCAGCAAGACAAGAGGCAACACATATTTTCAGAAGAAAAAGTGGTAAACTATGTATTTGTCTCAGTGCTGTTTCCTTTCAGCAGCAACTACCATCAACTTACAACAATGGCATTCTATTTCCAAGTTTTTTTATTTCCATTTAAGTCTACCTAATGCACCCTGTGATTGTGTGGCAACAATGCTGCACTGCTCCTGAATTTAGAACAGCATTGCCACTCTCATGTACGCTTGCTTGGGATGAAAACATGTTGCTGAAGATCAATCAGGACCTATCCACACCTAGTCCTGCCCACTACTTTCTGGATTGATAGTTAATGAATCCCCTCCTACTGTGACCTGCAGCGTCTGGGAGGGGGAGCATGTGAGACACAAAAGAAAGAAGATTTGGCTCAGTCAGGGAAGATAAAAGGAGTTTGCGTTTACTTTATGCAGCTTATGCAATACATAGTAACTGGGTTTGCTATTTTTTTTTTGCACTACCATATAGGAGCCTTTAGTTATACTTTAAGTTGGGTAGCACTTCATTTGAGTGAAGTGTATATTATTTCTAGCAGGTGATGTGCTATCGAGGATCACACTTTTGATGAGATCAGCACAGGCAAAGCTGATAGAGTACATTTGATCTTCACTGGAAGTCTGCTAAGCCTTTTAGCTCAGACTATTAAAAGGGACACAGTCAAAGCATGTTGGTAATCTGAGAATCAGACAAAACAGCAGTTAATTAAAGGAAATATGAGGAGATACTGATGGCCTGCTGCGGCATGACTACCTTGGTAGGCAAATTTATACTTGGCACTGATTGCTTGGTTACATTTTTGTGGAGACTGCAGTGATGGCTGAATGCCAAAGCTTTAGCTTACCCGACTGGTTTGTAGGAATTAAATTCCAACAAATGATCAGCAACTATGACAGGCAATCAAAACCATTACTTGTTTGATAGAATCCTGGTCAGAGTGAGATAT